ATTAAACATAAAACGTTGAATACTGATATTTGAAATAATTAAAAAAAAATGAAAAGATACTTTAAATGTGAAATTAAAACCGCCAGAAGGTGGCAGTAAGTCACTGTTAATAAGTGAGTCATTGCGATTGAACCGAATCATTTAAATGGTTGATTCATTCAAGAACAAAATGTTGTTATGTTACTCAAAGAGCAAAACAGCGCTGTGGCTTTGTTTGGAATTATTTTGTTGGCGAAATAGTGCAAAACCAGGCAATATGGTGTCTAAAATGTAAGTCTCTTAATAAAACCTCTAGTTTATTGAACCGTTTTAAAAAAAATCAATATCACATTTGTACATGGTAATTTTTGGAAGAAAAAAAAGGCACTCTTCGTGTGATTAACTATAAGAAGTGATATAAATATACACATTTTCTGCTCCCATGTCTTGAATTTGTGATCATTCTGAATGTAATGGTGGAGTTTAGAGTGCGTGACGTCAACCTCCGGAGCTCTATAGACTGAATCATGCAGTGAAAGAAGGCACTGTAAATGCGCACGTGCACTAGAATTCAAGTAATGCATGCACTCAGTAGATTTTGAATGTTTTTTTTGCGTCGTGAGAATATTGAGCAAAATAGCTCACTTGTCATGTTGTTACTTAACTATATCATGCTATGAATAAAATAAACATTTTGAATTTTTACCTCAGTGTGTTTCTTCTGAGTTTATGTGTGCGGTTACGCTCATTTGCTCTGAAGTCTCTCACAAAAGAGACAAACAGGGTGAACCTCAACAGCGCGAATTTGATACCAGAAATACACTATCCATTATCAACCGCTGTTTACATTGAATGTAGGCTAATAAAATTAGAAGAATCATTCTCGCGTTTCGATGCTTCGCTGGTTATTTTTTGTCACTTATGTTTTAATCATACATTTTAATCTTAATAAATTATCATTATTATTTTTATTGAGAACATTAAAAAGTTAGTTCAACCTATACAGTCTCGACCTGTATACTGCTACTGCGATTCTCTCTGATGCAGTAACTTACCGCGGGGAAGAAAAAATCTTCAGTCTGTCCAATGATTGTAAAGTCATGAGGTCCGTCAGACTGAAGATATTTTAGCGGTAATGTGACCAAAAATATTTAAGACCCATCGAAATTAAAACATTTTAAGACTTTTTAAGGCCTTATATTAGGAAAATGTTATTTAAGACATTTTAAGACTTAAGGACCCGCGGACACCCTGCGGCATTAGGCCTATTTCTGAATGAAATAATAAAATGCGACTTATGTTTTTTTTCTCTCTCTAAAAAATGTTATACGCGTAGCGTATTTCAACCATGCAGCAAACCTTTTTAAATATTTTGATAAATTACTTTAAAAAATAAATAAATGACTTTTTAAACCATTTAAACTGATAGTATTAATCGGTCAAAATTCTTCATGGTCGGTTAACAGTTAACCAGTTAAAATGAATATCCCTAGTATCCGCCAATGCAAATTTCATGTAATATATTTTTTAATGATTTTGAAGTTAAAATACTGAAGCCATAATAATAATAATAATGAATTTTTCTTTCCTTTTTTAACACCATGTCAGCTTCTATGGCTATGGTTTAGTTTTAGGTTTAGTTATGCAAAATTAAAACTAAATAAGATGTTTAAGATTAATTTTTCTTAAAAAACCTAAAAACTAGATTTAGATTTACTTGATTAAAAACCTTTTCAAAAGTATCAACAGAACAAACAAAGTTTCTCACAGGAGTAGAAGTATTACAGTCTAGCAAAATATGTTTAATGGACAGTGGATTTTGACAAGATGGACACTTCGGGGAATTTTCTCCAGATAGTAAAAATTCAAATGTAAAATGAAAAAAGTGTGTAATTCTTGAGTGTCCTATCCAACATCGTGTGTAAATGACTAAATGACTTGATATAATAAGTATTATTATTATTATTATTGAATAATCCTAAGTAAACATTAATTATAAAAATAATTTTGTTCCTTCCCTAAAATCATTAAATATTCTTATCTCATTCTTACATATACTTAATGTAGCCAAATATTAATAGAAACAACTAAATTAATTTGTTTAGGGATGCACCGAAATGAAAATTCTTGGCTGAAGCCGAATAAAATGAAACACTGGGCCGAAGGCCGAATACAGTTTTTCACATTTTTCCCCCCGTAGGCCTATTTCGCAATTTGTTTTCACCATTGCATTAATTCAATTGCCAAAATGTACTTATTACTGTTTTGCCCTGCTTTTCAAATAAAAAATCAATTAAAAAAACAACAATTTAAAAATATTTACTTAACACTGAACATTTTTTTTACATTCTAGCAGACATTATACCAACAAAGCACAATTTAACTTAAAATTAATAAGTTAGTAAAATAATATTTT